AACACAGACTCATTCATGGTAAAATATGCACCATTCTGGTGAGTCATATTAGACAATAGAGAACACTATAAAATTGTGAGGACAGGGAGCTATGGGAAGTCTCTGTGCCTTCCTCTCAATTTTATTATAATCCTAAAACTGCTCTAAAAAATTTAAGTCTTTAAAAAAATTAATTTCAAAGAAAACATCAAAAACACTGAGATTCTCAAGTCACCAAATGAAAATAATTTCCAGTTTAGTATACTTAAAACAAATATACATTCATTTCCTTTCCATTAAATAATTCTCTAGTTCATATTTATCTCTCTTTATTTTCTCTATCTAAAGAGAAAGAAGGGACTTGCCTTCCTTCTATTCCCCAAGGAAGAAATAACCAGGCATGGTTTAAGGACTTCATTTCACCATTGGGAACTGATACTCCTGAAAATGTGTAAATATTTCTGAGAAATAAAACTGTCCATATAAATCACTCATTCTTCAGATCTCTTCAAAAGTACACAACTTTGATTTTTGAGTTAAGGAAAGGTTAAGGACTAGGCCTGGGGGTAGAAGGGAGGGAAAAAGGGAGGGAAAAAAGGAAAGGCTATTTTCTCAAAGGATTAACAAAGGCAATTACTGGTTTTTCACTCATTACTTATAAGGAAAAAACTTGTAAAAAACAAAAAAGTAATAAATCAGTTTTCCTAGATCTATCATTTTTTCATGACAACTTGAACATCAAAACATTCCTTACAAAGTATGCAAGAAAAGTAAACACTGTCAAAAGAATCAGGAAAAAGACTATATTTAAGGTAGTGATTATGTTCATGTGGTGGAATTTCAGGAGTCTTTTTTCCTTACTTGTTTAACTAGTAAATTTACTTCATGAGCATGAATTACTTGTGTGAATTAAGAAGAGAAAATTTTTATTTCTTGGGGACAAGCATTGGATTTTTTTAAGATTGCTTACATTTTCTACAAGGAACATTATTTTTTCAGATATGAAAGTAAATTTTGTTATAAATTAGGTTAGCAGTCTCAAGTGAAGTCAGAACACCTAGACAACTAAGTGCCATCACATTCAGAAAATAATTAATTATCTAAAGCTACAGGATATTTTGAGGAAGCTCTATTAAGCTACCATGGAAATACACTGGACTATGAGAGAATATTTCACAAGGAATCATTCTCCGTAGTGGTATTTAGTTTCTTCCCATTCACAAATATGTAAATACACTACAGTCACAAAGCAGTTTCATGCAGAAAACCAATGTGAACGGACAGCTATAGTCTGTATTTATAGATGGGGCCTGAGATCTAACTTAATAAATGTTAGTCACCAAGCAAAGGTTACCAAGCAAATGAGACACAGGAATTATAAACTGAACCTATACAAGTTTTTACACACCAAGAATATATCAGAACACAGTACCTCCCACTATAGTACTATTTACTGAAGCAGGTGATAATAGCTTCAACCTAACAGATAAGGAAAGAGTCCAGAATCCATTACCAATGTTAAGCAACATTACAAAGCTGGTAAGTGGCCGTCCAACTCGCAACCCGAAGCTCCTCCTAAATTACAGCAGGGCTGAAGCAATGTGGGTGGAGATGGCACTAAGCCTTACTAGGCAACTATGGACAACGTGATTTCATACCCTGGCCGCAGTGACAGAGGTCACTGAGGCAAACTGCCCCTTTCTCAGGAATTCATAATTGGGACCAGAGTCAAGCCTCCTTTGAGTGTCTGAACCTGTAAGACTAAGTCAAGAATTATGACACAGGCATCTTCAGCCTACCCATGCAGCACAAAATCAGAAGCAGCTAGTCTGAAGAAAGAATGGCACCCAATGAAAGCTGGAAGAACTGGATGACTTCTAAGTGCGCAGATCCAATCCCCTCTTGAGTGCACCTCTTGTTCCCATAAGATTCCCTGATTCCTTAGAGTAAGTGCCTCATTTTTGCTTAAATCAGCTTATAACTATGTACAAATACAAATTGAAAGTCTTTGCCAAGAAAAAACAAACAACATTCTTCTAGAAAAGTATAAAAAATAAAAATAAAAAGCATCAAGCTTATGCCTAGGATGAATATCAGACCAGAAAGGGAGTCCTAGTTAAAAGTTGGCCAGTCAAGCCTCAAGGGCTAGTTCCACCAGCATTCATCACTCCCCAACAGCCATCCAAATCACAGTAACTTCTTACGTATACCGTAAATTCTTCCAGTTCAACTCTTTTGGTCAACCAACCTCTCCTGATTAAATCTTGATCTCCACACATCCTTCTCATCCGAGGTCCAGCTCAAATAGTACATGGTACACACTGACTGACACACACACACACACACACACACACACACACATCCGTCCTTCAAAACTGGCCCTTGCTACATCTATCCTGGCACTTGCTATCTTTTGCTACAGATAACAGCAATCTTCCCTTTCCTCGAGTATCACAGCTCTTTGAGGTGTGACTTAAATCTGACTCCACCAGACTGCCTACTCATTAGTCTTGATCCATTTCCAGAGCTTCTCAGGTTGAGAAATTGTGACTTAGTCTCTTGATATTCCAGCACTAAATTCAATGCCTTGCAGAATATGGTTGCCCAAATACCTGGTGAATGCATGAAATATTCCTTGTGCATTAAACAAGTTATTTTAAAAAATTTCCATATCTAACATCTGTAGCAAGGGAAAGGAGAAGACTGGTAGCAATAAACCTGACATCAAAATCTTTTAAAAGGGGGCTATAATTTTTTTTAATACTATGACACCTGCTTAGAGTTTTAAAAATAAAAATAAAGAAAAGTAGGAGGAGGGAGAATAGGGATTCCTCCTTAGAGAGTCTAGAAGGTCTCAGCCATTCTTCTCTGGCCACTTAAGCAGAACTCATCTCCAAAACAGAAGGGGACCAACAGTTATCACAGAGAGAGTAGAAAAGAAAAAGATGGAGAGAAGGGATGAACCAATGAAGGAGGAGAAAATCAAGAGCAGGAAGCCTTACCCCACGACTCACCAAATCTTTAACAGTAAACTATATTCCTGAAATGCTTGAGGAAAGGTGTATATATATGTGTGTAGACCATTGAAATGGAGAGGTTTCATGTCCAAGCTGATTCAAAATACCATTTTCAGAAATGGAAGCCCAGAAGCTAAGAAAAGCAAAAGTGAACTAAATTATGGATGTGAGGGGAAAAAAAAGGATAAATACCTCTGGACTTAAATAATCTCTCCAACTAAGAGTTTAAGGCTCAAACTATGAAGAGTAAGGAAGCCCTTGCTGGCATCTAGATTTTGTATGTAATACTCAATATATTCTGATAGCTCAATAATGTGAATTATAAATCTAACCAGATACTAACTGGTGAAGTTCACATCATCTACTGAACCCTATATGCCATTTCAATTCACTAAATGCCACTCAAATATTTGTCAAAATCCAAATGAAGCCAGCAGGACATTTCTTTAGTATTTAATGTTTTAAACTGTTTCTATTCTTGTGTTTTTAAATACAAGTTTACACCCCCACCCACCATCTTTTGAAAAGTTTTAAGTCACTAAATGCAAATGTGACTTAAAAAGAAGCATGTTAGGAAGTCCACATAAACAAATACAATAAGCTGAAGGTTGGGAGAGGAGCCATTTCCAGAAAGAAGTAATCCATTACAGTTCCTGGGAGAGTTGCCACCCTCCAGCCAAAGGAGCCCAAGTGGGTGTGTTGGCAGGACTGGGCCAAGTGACGAAACAGCAGCCCTCATCTGTACCCTAGATTTAATGAATGTAGTGCTAGGCTCCAGATACACTGAGGTACATAAACACTCCCACCTCCAAGGGAGGCACTTTGCCCCAGAGACAGCAGCTGGCAGATACCCAGTTAGAAATCAGTGTTAGTAAACTGATGAGCAGAAAGATTAGCTTATGAAAGCCAGATTAGAGGAGATAATATATACTATGCAAGAGTTCAGACTGCATAAAAGTCAAATGTATGATACTTAAGATCCACCCAAAGCAGCTAATTACATACAACAATGCTCATTTGGATGTATAAACTGTAGAATGTTTTTTTTTAAGTCACTATTTAAATCCCAGCAATTGTGGTTTGACCTGCTTGCCTGGGGTATATCATAATGACATTAACACATCACAGGCCCAAAAGCTCTAAGAAAGAAATAATCTAGGAAAGAATAAACAATGTTCTCACTTCTATTCTAAACAATTCCTCCAACCTCCCAACTTTCCATTTCTCTCTTCTGGAATGAAGATATGTGAAATAGTAAAAATAAACCAAAATTCATTCTAAAACTGAGGTTTTTTTATAAAACATTCATTCCAACCCTCAAAATGAAGGCATCACACCATTATCAGCAACCTTCTGGCTGCAAAGCAGTAGAATACAGTGGGACAGAGGGAATCCAACAGTTAAATCAGAAGGTAGCAATAAAATGTACCATTGGAAAAAAGCTAAGAAGCCCCAATGACTCGCTAGACCTTGAACTCAAGATATCAGAGAACTACCAGACGAATTTCAATCAAAGGACCATGCAGTATCATCTAAGAGTGAAACTGACACCAGAATGAAATAGAATTAAGTGACTTTCCCATCACAGGGTAGGTCAAAATGGAAGAATTAGGAACATCTAATTACTATGACAATGTTTTTCAGAAGACTGCTTTTCACAGATAAAACAACTCCATAATGATATCCCTGAGCATGTACAATTATTTGTTGTTGTGGCAGACAAGTCTACTTATAAACTAACAGTCTTTTCTTGGGCACACTGCTACGTAGCATCTTCAAATTTTATCTTTCTTTTGTCTTTTTTTATTTTTAAACTGTTTATCATCACTGAGAATAGAGGCTTCAGGCATATACAAATGAACAGGAACTTCACTGATTCTCTCAGGATAACCAACAAAGGAGAAAAACTCATGAAGACCCGGGGATGAAATTGCTGGAAAACCTAGGCATTTTTATAAGCTACTTTAAAAAAAGCATATATCCTAAGGAACTAAATCTACTAACCTCTACAATCAATGTGATACATGGTTTATCCAGTCTTGACAAAAATCCTCTGGATCACCAATGGTATGTTCATCCACTCGGACATATGCAATTGTATAAAGAATCTATTATTTAGAACACCAGGGGAAAAAAAAGCAATTAAAAGATTTATATTCATAGCTACCATTTTCAAGAAAAAAAAAAAAATAAGCACTTTTTCCACGTCTGCTAATATCTTCTAAAATGCCCTCCTTGCTTTGCAATTTCAAAAGAACAACGAAAATCAGTGATTACAGAATTGGAAAAATATTAAGGAATATGTCCACAAATAAAATTTATTGTGCAAAGTAATATGCTAATACTTTAAAAAAAATACGCTGGTGATTATTTGCTGAAGATTATAAAAATACTCCAATGCCAATCAATACAACATATATTTTATCACATGTGAATACATGATATACATACAAAACCTTATATTGAAATTGGAAGAAAGCATCTGAATTATGTTTACATTTCACTTAAGTATTAGTGGGTGGGCACATATTTTAGCACATGAGAACGCAAATAGTTAATAGTCATAATGCTAAGAAACTTAGCCCTCTCCTGATGCCTGGTTTTTCCGTCTTCTCACTCCTAAATATGCACAACCCCCGCTCCCCCACTGTGCTCTGGACTCTACTATAACCCTCAGCATTCCTGTGACTCCACTATCACCCTCATCCCACACTCCAAGTTTTAGAATCAAACTCTCCACACACCTGCAATCTACCTGCCGAGCACTACGCCAAGTTCTTAATATGCATCATCTCTCCCCATTCTTGCAACAATCCCATATAAATAAACTTTGTTATTCCATTTTAAAGATAAGAAAAACTGGGGCCTCCCTGGTGGCACAGCAGGTTGAGCACAGCACTGTGAAGCTGTGCTCAGCCTCTGTGGCGTGGGTTCGATGCCCAGCCAGCAAGGGAGTTCCCCACATGGCATGGCAGACCTCTCCTGCCATGCCCGCTGCTCCCCTCAGCAGTGTATTTCAGTCAGTCTGCCTGTTCTGCTCCCCACTCTGTCTCTGGTGAATCCTCTCATCCTCCCACACCTCTGGCCTGTACCCCAGCTCTTGTATAAAAAAATAAATAAATAAATTTTTAAAAAATAAAAATAAATTAAAGATGAGAAAAACAAGACCCAGAAGTTAGGTGCTTTTTCAAGGACATGAACTAAGAAAAAAAAAAAAAGGTAGCAGATCCAGGATTCAAAACCAGCTCTGACTCCAATACCTGAGCTTTTAAGCCACTATTCAAAACAGTCTTCCTAAATAAGTCAGTTGAGTGACTCAATAATTTATCTCATTCATTCAACAAATAATTTAGTTGTTGTACATCAACCTGCTCTCTCTTTTCTCCACTTCCACTTCCCCAAATTGTTTGGCAGCTATATACTCTTCAACCTTCCTCCCTAATCCCAATCACTCAGGTAGATTCTTAGAACCATCTCCAACTCCTCCCTCTCTTACATAAATCTCATCTACTTAGCCAATAATTTCTGCCTATACTAGGGACTCTAGATTATATTACTTCCTTGTCAAGTTCAATACCACTGTCCCAATTTGGACCTTAAATTTCTTTTATTCAACCACTCCCAGTCCCTCATAATTAGCCACACTGCTCTTGGTCGCTAGATCCTGGCAATCAGTGTTACACCACTACCACCTGTTACCCTTATAAAACAGATGTACTCATGTTACACCCCTGCTTGAAAGCCTTTGATGATTCTCTACTTGTCTACAGAACAAAGTCTAAACTAGTTGTGTTGGCATTCCTACACAAGCTAGTTCCAACCTATCTTCTCAGCTTCCCTGCCACCTCACTGAAAATAATAATAATTTATAGAGCTTAATGGTTTATACAGCACATTTTCACATATAATAATCCTAACAGTACAACAAGTTTTTATTATTATCTCAATTTTATGAGAAAGAAACTGAGACTTGGAGAAGATAATTTGTCCAGGATTCTAAATTGTGAAAGGCAGAAAGAGCCAAGCCTCAAACTCCTAATTTTATTTACTTTCCCTGAACTTCGTGGAGCCAAAGCACCCCATTCCAGTATTATCATAATTCTTCAAACTTTCTCTGAAAACACATGTTTTCCAGCACTTATTTCTTAGCTCAAGCTACTGTTCCCTTAGCCTAGGACAGTCCTCTCCTTAATGTTTCCAAAGATCTGTTAGGCATTTTCAAATCATGCTTTCTCCCAGTTATTTATATAAAAGCCTGTCTCTACACTGAATTATAAGACCTGTGAGGAGTCTGTTTATTGAATTGAAATGTGTGGGAAAAAACAAGTCATAAGATTGCTTGCATCAAGGCAGAGACTGGCCAGGCCTGAAACCAGAGACCAGCAACTTGGGTCATGCCATCTGAGCACACTGGCAGTGCCTGCAATTTTAATATCTGTCTTCTCAACAAAGTCAAATGCCCCACTGCCAACTATTCTCACCAACATTGACCTTTATTAAATACTACGATTTAGTGAAAGCATAATTTAAAGCAAAATGGGGTAGTAGTGGAAAAACTAGAGGTTGCTTAAAACAAAAACCAAATATCATTATTTCCCTCTTTAACCTTCCTATTTGGTTAAGTTACCAAAATTTAAAGGATGCACACTTGGTTCAGCCTTTCTACAAATATCAGTCCATCTGCCTGGCAGCGATCATTATAGCTCCTCTCTCTCTCTCTGGGGCTATTTCAGATGCCCCCAGAATCGCATTCGCCTACACAGCTATACACACAGCTTCCCACTGCCCATCCTCTAAAAGATCCATTTGGATTACCAGCACTGGCAGAGACGGTCTCAGAAGGCGCTTGACATGTTGATTATCTGGTCAACTTTTGTAATTAAAGTTTCTAGCAGCTACGTTAAACAGTCAAACTGAAAACATATGCTTTAAGATTATAGTTCAATACTGCTTCATGAGTTGTCTTTATTCCAATGAAGATCAAATTCTAAGGATGTCTTAAAATTATAAAGCTCTGAATATGACACCACTAAAGAGCTGAGCACGTGAAGTCTCAAATGTTTCTCTCTATCAGAAATCTCCCCACTGACATGTAACTACAATGTCACCTTTCCATGAATTGGCAGAAAATAGCATTAGAAGAAAGCAAGCCCACGTGCCCTGCACTGAATTTCACTCCGTGCCATACAACTCTATCACACCGAATGTAAAGAAAGAAAACTGCAAACAGTAACCTTAAGTACATTACAAACAAGATTTCAGGACTGCCTTTAACAGTCAGAACCCATTCTTCTCTATTTTGACATCTGACCCCAGAAATCTAGTATGTTCTATCTAATGAATATCAGACTATTGCCACAATTTCCACAAGACAGGGGATTCTTCTGGAGACTAGCAAGACATGGAGAGGGGAGAGGGGAATTTATATTGATTTTGCTATAGGTTGCCCATATTCCTTTCAGAGAAAGTAAAACAGTGGTAGAGCAAAATTAACGTAGACTGGAATGAGAGAACCTGAGTTTCAAGCCCTAACTCTGCAGTATGAGGGTAGCTCCCCCTGGGAGACAATAGTATCACACTCACAGTTTTGTGGCAAGGATTCAATCAGTTAATACCTACAAAGTGATTTAAACACAAGGTAAGCCTTAATAAACATTAGCTTTACTATTAGTCTATGACAATCACCTCATTCAAAGTGACAATTAACATGACATTTGTGAAAAAGAAAAAAAAAATCTAACAAATTCCAACCCAAGATCATCTTGCTTACCTTCTGACAATTTTCACTTATGAAAAACATGAAAGAAAGAAAAGGAAATAAATCAAAGAAAAACCTAACGGTCAATTCCGTGTCTCAAGAGAAAATGCAAAGTGTGGTGACAAATACAAGTGAAAGGAGCTACAGATTTAAATTTATGACATGTCATCACTTCAAATGCAAAGGTACAAATGCTGATTTGAAATCTATATGGACGCAATGTTGCCAGTTTTATATCTCTAAATGAAAGACCTGGGAATCACAGGCGGTTGATAATATTACTTTAACATTTAATGATAATACTACTTGAACATTATCTGTACAATATAATCATAAGTTTTGGTCCTTATGTATCTGTTTACACTTATGCTTCCTCTTTCTTCTTCATAGAATAACTCCACTCCTAGACTCTGGTGTTCCTCTGTACCCCACAGCAACATTAAATAGTAGTCAAATAGTTGGATTCACGGAACATCTGAGAATTTAGCAATGCATCCAAAATCTATGACCTCTTTTCATCAACATAAATGCTTTGACTATAGTGCACAGAGGTAATGTGGTCTGAAGATTTGTTATGAGCACACAGTGGAGTGTGATGAGACACCTGGGATCCGATTCCAGCTCCACCACCTACTAGCTGCAGGATCTTGGGAACCAAAGAAGCCTGCTTCCGTTCCATAAAACCACGGTAAGTTTATTTACCTTTTAAAATTATTCTGACAAATAAAAATATAAAGTCTCGACAAATAAAAATCTGACCCAAAAAAAGCACTTAAAACAATACTAAATATTTAAGAAAAGGTGTAATTGATGTTTTCCAATTGGAAACATCTGGTTTGAAGTACTTACTGCCACTGAACTCCACACTTAAAATTGTTAAGATACTGGTTACTAGAGAAGAGGATGAGGGAGTAGAGGGTAGAAAATGACAGAGTGGTGGCACTAGCCCCTTGGTAGAAGGTGAGGCATGCGCATATATGGAATGTAACACAGAGCTCCCAAAATTGTAGTTCTGTAAATGAGTGGCAAATCAATAAAATTTGAGAGGAAAAAAATTAAGATGATAAATTCTGTGTATTTTACCATAGCCTTTTTTAAAAATAATAAAATACTTAAATGAAAATTTTAAAAATGAGTAAAAAGACGGGAAAGACAAAGCTAGTAAAACAACAAATGTAGCATATAAGTATTGAGTATATGAAAATTCATTTTCAAATTCTCTGTACTTTTTAACATGTTTACAATGTTAAGCAGGGGAAAGGCAATGCTGGCCTCTAGCAGTTTGCTTTTATTATCCTCTACTAGTCAGACATAATGTCCCAGCAAATATTCAAATACTTAGCTCCTTTTATTAAGGCATTATTTTTATAAGCATCTTTTTATCAGCCATCTCTCCTTTTATTATAACCATTCTGGAACCACAAGTGGTTTATTTAAAACATCTTAGCTAGTAAATATATGTGATTTTGATTATTCTGTGGTACCAACTATGAAGTAGTTAATGTCTCCTGAAGAATACAAAAGCCAAGTCAACTGATATGTGTGGCCAACAATTGATGATTTGATCAAGCAAAACAATGGAAAAGCAAGGGCTGGAATTATTTGTTCCTAGCTTTACCAATAGCTGTTGAAGTAAGTTCCTTAACCAGAAATACTATTAATGTCTTAACAGGTACCTGACATACAGGAGCACACTGCACACATACAAATACAAATACAGCCACCTAAGAATGATAGCCAATTCTTCTGGTGGTGTTCCCCATTCTAACAGGAAATTTGCATTTTAACATGTCTAGCAGTGCAAAAGTAACTCAGATATCATGAAGAATAACAACTTTAAAAGATTACTTCAAAGGCACTGGGATGGCTGATATCAAAAATACAAAAAATAACAAGCATTGGGAAGGATGTGGAAAAATTGGAACCCTTGTGTACTGTTATCGTATTGTTAGGGACATAAAATGGTACAGCTACTGTGGAAAACAGTTTATCAGTCCCTCAAAAAATTAAAAATAGAACTAACATATGATCTAGCAATCCCCCCTTCTGGGTATTTATCCAAGAGAACTGAAAGCAGAGTCTCAAAGAGACATATATGCACATTCATTTTCACAGTAGCATTAGTCACAATAGCTAAAACACAGAAGCAACCCAAGTGTCCATCAACAGATGGAGAAAAAAAGTGGTATATGCACACAAGGGAATATTATTCACCTTATAAAAAAAGAAATAAGAGTCATGAGTCACTTAATGACAGGGATACATTAAGGGACTTCATCCTTGTGTGACAGTCATCACAGCATACTCACATAAAACTGGTGTGGCCTACTGCACAGCTAAGCTAAATGTGTGTGTGTGTGTGTATGTCTGTCTGTATACAGGACTGTGATAGCATACAATGTCTGTCCCTGACCAAAACATGGTCAGGCAACACATGACTACATTAACATATGCTATAGCATGAATGAAACTTGAGGACATCATGCTAAGCGAAATAAATGAGTCACAAAAAGACAAATACAGAAAGACTTCCTTACCATGGGATACTAGTCAAGTCAGAAATCACAGAGACAGGAAGTGAACTGGTGGAGGCCAAGGGCAGGAGGAAAGGGGAAGGAGGAGTTAGGGTTTAAAGGGCTGAGTTTCAGTTTTGCAGGATGAAGTGTTCTGGAAATGGATGGTGGTGATGACTGCATACCAAGATGAATGTACTTAGTACCACTGACTTGTACACTTAAAAATGGTTAAGATGGCAATTTTTGTGTTTTACCTCAGTAACAAAAAAAAAAGAGGTGGGGCAGGGAGCTGATGTCCTCAGAAGGAGCACCTGGGGTGCTCCAGCATGGAACTGAAAGACAACCCCTATCTCTAACCACACCAAAAGACTGTCTACTCACTGTCCTGCCCAGGGTCACATCAACTGTTTATGTCAGCTTCAAACATTACTCCAGTTCTGTGTCAAAGCAGCAAGGAACTGACTCTCTCCAAACCGGTCTCTCTTTAAAATAAGGGTAATTCCTACCTACCTCACAAGATTGTTATGAGTGCACAAGTGAGCTCATGTATTTAAATCAGCTTTAAACTGCCAAGCAGCAAGAAACCGAAATTATTACGTTTATAACTACTTACAAATGGAAAATCAGAAGAGGCAGCAACAAACTTCACAAAGCCTGAGACACCTCACCCAAGCTTCGTTCCCTGTAAAACTCCCATTCCCCCCTCCCCCCAAAATAACACCTTTCTGGGTTTTGTGATCAATTGAAGGCCAGCGTGGGGAAGAGTGAGGGCAGGGAGCCGTCAACCTAAAATATTTCATTTCACGACCCCAAACGCAAGCAAAAATTATTTTATCCATCCTAGAATAATGCCATTTTCACGACCCTAACGCGGGCCTGCGGCGACCTGGAACTACACTTCCCACAAAGCAGCGAGGCGAACCGGGCGCGGGCGGGCCGCCTGGGATTCAGGGTGACCACCGCTCTCCCCGAGCGCGGATCGCCGAGCCCCGGAAAATGGCAACATTCAGGGGTCGAGAGTGCTCTGGCCTCCTTTCTGGAAGCACCGTCGCCGCGCGGTCTCCTGCGCCCAGCGCCGAGACCCTCTCCGCCCTCGCGTCCTTCCTGCTCCTCCTGCGGGTCACCGCCTATTCTTGACCTTTCGGCTGATTTCTAGGGTGTCACCGAAAGGCACCTTCTCTCCTTCCCTGAAAGCTCCGGGACCCGAACTCGCCCAGTGACCGGGGCCCGGGGCCCTGGCGGAGTCAGACGGGTCGGGGGTGTTGGGGGGGGGGGGGCCCAGCTCGCCACCCAAGGGGCTCCAGGGCCCCGCACAGCGGGCAGGGGGCTGGGCTCCCCCGGCCCCCGGCCGGGGCGGACCGCGGGCAGAAGTGGCTCCGCCCGGAGCTCCGGTTTCAATTTCGCAAGGTGACGGTGCAAACCTGAGGCCTACAAACGCCCGCGGCGGCGCCCGGCGCCCCGCCCGCCCGCAGGCCCGAGCGCCCCAGCCCCCCGAGCGCCGCGGCCGCCGCCCGCCCACCCGCCGGGCCCGGCGCCCCGCGGGCCGCCGCGCGCCCCAGCCCGCCCGCCCGGCCCCGGCCCCGGCCCCGCCCCGGCCTCCACCCCCGGCCCGCGCCTCGCCGGCTCCGGCTCGCGGCCCCAGCTCGCCGTGGCACTTACTCAGCTCGTCCTGGGAGGCGGAGGCGGCGGCCGCAGCCATGTTGCGCCGGGCAGGGAGGGAGGGGCCGGAGGGGGAGGGCACGGCCGGGCGGCGCGGGGGCTCGCCGCTGGCGGGGCGGCGGGGGCCGGGAGCCGCCGCCGGTCGCTGCGCGCGGGCCGCGCTGCACCCACGCGGCCCGCCCGGCGCCGCCGTCGCCGCCTGCGTCCTGCGGGCGGCACGCGTCGCTCTCGCCGTCCCCCGCGAGCTCGCGGCTCCCGCGCTCCCGCAGCCTCGCGCCCCTGCGGGGCCGCCGCCGTCCGTCGGCCGCGACCCGGTGCGCCCGGCCCGCGCGGCGGCTCTGCGGCTCCGCGCCGCGCTCCCGGCTCACGCCGGTTTTATATTTAGAAAGAGCTGAGCCATCCTCCCAGCGGCCCCCCCGCCGGGCCCCTCGCGCGCCCGCCCGCCCGCCCTCGCTCGCTCGCTCGCTCGCTCGCGGCTCGTCCTGCCCACCTGCCGACGCCCGCCCCGCGAGCGCTCCCCGCGCCGACCCGGCACGCGGCGGCCTGCGCGGGCGGCCCAGCCTAGCCGCCCGGCGCGGCCTCCGGGGCCCCGGCGCGGGGCGGACGCGCGGGCCTCTGACCTGAGTCGGAGCCGGTCTCCATGCCGGGGAGGCGGCGCTCGGCGCCGCCAGGGGGGCTCCCGAAGAGGCGTCCGGCGGGCTCGGCCCCGAGGAGCCGCGCGCCGCAGTCCGTGAGGGGCTGGACCGCCCCGGCCCGGGAGATCCGCGAGGCGAGGCCGCGGCTCCCTTTCGTAAAAGCCGGCGGCTGTCACGCTGGCCGATGCCCGACCTGAGGGAACACGCCTGTCCGGAGGAAGAGACGTGGACTCGGGAAAGTGGAGCCCGGCTCGGAGTCGGCGGGAGGAAGCCCCGCCCTGCGCCTCCCGCCGAACTTCTCGGCCCCGGCGCTGACTCAGTCCCAGGCCCCGCGAGCCCCGCGCCGCCAGCCGCCCGGGACCTGCTCCCCCGGCTCCGGTGCCCGAGCGGAGCTGGCGAGAGCGTCGCGGGTGCGTTTAGGAACTTGAGGAGAGAAGAGCACTCAGCCCTACAGAAAGTTCCAAGAACCAAGATTTTTCAAGTGCGAGTTGGAGTATATATGCTTACAGGAGGTTTTCCATTATTATTATCATTAGTATCATTATTGTTATTATTATTATTATTATTCGGATATCTACGCTCTTTTCGGTAACCCGAGCGATTTATTTTTAAGACACCGATGTAAACGGCATGCTTTAGTTTTTCCGTGAGGTTAGGTCCGCGAAAAACACTTGCTAAATGGAATTCAGAGGAACGGATTGTATAATTGCTGTACTTGAAGTGATGGTCCTGTCATAACAAATTAGGTACAAGATCACAAGATCTTTATAGGAAGAAATCAGGATCCTAAATGGATTGAAACTGCATTTATTCCTCAGAGCGAAAATCTATAAAGCCCTAGTTAATGTCTTTAAAAATGAACATGTATCACTCCAGATATAAAGTAGGCAGGTACAAGGTACTTACACAACATTAAAGACAGTCTTTTTTCTTTATTGCTTTTGTTATAGAAATTATACGTGATTTTTGTAAAAAAAAAAAAATTCAAATGTTTCTGATTATCTTCAAAGTAAAAGGGAAATGCCCTCCTCCCACCTCCAACACCCCCACACCCAGAGGAAAATACGGTTCTGGTACTGCTGAAAGTTCATCCTCCAATCCTTGTCTCCACATATATGCCACCCCAAATACAAGTACTCAAGATAAAGTATGGAGATAAAGTTTCTGCCCCATAAACATTCTCCACTGTTAATTCAAAAAGCTCTCCAGGGCCTCCCTGGTGTTGCAAGCAGTTAAGACCCAACCTATGGAGAGTTCCTTTTTCTGTACATATACACAATGGAATATTACTCAGCAATCAAAAAAGATAAACTCATGCAATTCGCAGCAACATGGACAGAGCTGGATAGGATCATGCTCAGCTAAATAAGCCAGAAAGAAAAAGAAAAACATCGATGGCCTCACTCATAGCAGGAATTTAGAAAACCTAAATAAGGGACCAGGAAAAAAACCTAATTATAATAAAGTAAAAATCAAAATCAACAAACAACTATAAACCAAAGACACACTGCATGGGGGTGGGGGAAGGGAGTAGGATGAAAACAAGGGGGATGGGAATTGTATGGGGACTATAACCAAGATGAAAATGCATACATCGTGCAAAAATGAAAAATGATGTAAAAAATAAAGACCCAACCAATGGAGCTATCCACATGGTGCAGCAGACTTCTCCTGTCTCCCCTGCTGATCCCCTCAGCAGTATGTTTCAGTCAGTCTGCCTGTTCTGTTCCCCACTCTGTCTCTGGTGAAATCCTCTCCCCCTCCACACCTCTGGCCTGTACCCCAGTTCTCGTATGCATAAATAAGTAAATTTTTAAAAATAAAAATAAAAAAGCTCTCCACCACCATCGCTTTTTGGTTGATAACTTCATGGTAATAAGTTTGCCAAGCCTTTTTTGAGGACATTTTGGCCCTTTTCATTTGACGTTGACTATGAAATAAATGCATAATGAACTATTTACAAAGAGTACACCACAGAAGTGAATAAAAGTTCTCCTCCACCTCTCTGCTCACCAGCACTTCATGCTTTTCCCTGTAATCATCGCTGTTTACCTTAAGGTACACACAACCTTTCCTGAAGGTTTATAAGACATATAGGGTGGCTGCACCAACGACTGGTTTGGGAAGAATTTGACTTCCCCTAATCCCATATAGATCCTTCTAGAGATTTTAAGTTTAAAAAAACACAACAGGGCCTCCCTGGGGGAACAGAAGGTTGGACCCAGCACTGTGAAGCTGTCTGAGACCCCCATGGCAAGAGTTCAATCCCTGCCTGCCAGGGAGCTGCCCACATGGTGCAGCAGACCTCTTCCTTTCTTGCCGGCTATAAGAGATAACAAAATCCAAAAACTGAAAGCTACGTCTTTTACTCCTGAGCAGTCCCCTTGCCCTGTTTTAGGCCTTGGTCAGCCATGCTAAATGTAAGGGTGGGGCCTCCCTGGTGGTGCAAGGGGTTAAGGCACAGTACTGTGAAACAGTCCAGCAGCCTCTGCAGTTCGATCCCCAGCCAGGGAGCTGACCCTCATGGTGCAGCAGACCTCTCCTGTATCACCCTCTGCTCCCCTCAGCAATGTATTTCAGTCAATCTGCCTGTTCTGTTCCCTACTCTATCTCTGGTGGGTCCTCTCACCCCACCCCTTGCACCTCTGGCCTGTACCCCAATTCTTGTGTACATAAATAAATAAATCTTTAAAAAAATTAAGGCTCTAATAAAGTAAATAATCTTGTTTCCAATGTCAAAGTAGATTAGGAGCAGAATACTAGCAATCTTCACATGCATGACAGAAAATTAACACCCTAAAAACGAGGGGAAAACTTTGAAAAGAAGTTTAAAAACTCAAAAAGCAAAACATTCTGGGCTTATTTGTAAAATATAAAAAGCAACCCCCCACCCCACATCCCACACCCATAGGCCCTGAATATGGGTGCTGGGCCCACGGTGCTGGGCCCAACTTTAAGAAATGGTAAAATTTTGTCTATTATATCAGCATCAAAAACCAAGAAAGTATGGAATATATTTTACCAAGGTTTTCATCTTAAATGCAATTTTAGGCTCCTAAAGGGATTAATGTTAAACTACCCTGAAAGTCCAACTATCCCAAATGATCAATTACCCACCCCAAAGTGTTCCACACAAGTCAAAATTCTGTATAAATAAATCTCATACAATAGTTATTCTGGTTGCTGAAAAAAGTCAGGGACTGAGTACAAGCTGCCAGCAGCCAACACCACTATTGATCTTCATCGCCACTCTTAACTCAGTTATTGATTAGTCATATCTCACTGCACATAAACCCCTGTTACAACTCACAACATTCCACCTTCTAAAAACCAAACTCAGAAACACAGTGTCAAACCATCATATAAAATCCTTCCACTGTTTCACTCTCTGCGTTTGCGGATTTAAAATATATTTTATGGGCCTCCCCGGTGGCGCAGTGGTTGAGCGCTGGGTTGCGAAGCTGCCCGCAGCCTCTGCAGCGCCGGTTCAATCCCCGGCTGCTCCCGCATGGCGCGCAGACCTCTCCTGCCGCCCTCTGCTCCCCTCAGCAGTGTACTTCGGTCCTTCTGCCTGCTCTGCTCCCCGCTCT